CCCTATCATAAGAGACAGCGTTTATTTTTTCCGACATCAGCACTAAACCGTGTCGATGGTTTATAGCTACATCCCAGCACATGACACCGAGGTGTTCTCCAAATGTTCCTCGAATGGATTAAGTGAAACCAACTCTTCATTTCCATGGAAATTTCCACCAGAATTTTTCTTAAACAGGAAATCATCTTGAAATGTTTTTAGAGTATTTATTTTAAGCAATGAAAGCTAATTTGGACATTTTAGAAAGGCTTTTAAAAAACAAGTCAATCATATCTCAGGAGGCAAGACCTATAGACCCGATATGCTAAATCATTTCGACTTACAGACCGAAGATAATGCTTTCATTAGGGGTTGTTTGTTCATCCATTTAATGAGTAACCTTTTGGTTGAGGGAGAGGTGAGTTACATAAGCCCTGCTTCTATACGAGCAATTGCTTATACATGTATTAATTTGTCTGCTTTCAATTCAGGCACTATTTTATAAAAGGAAATCCGAGAGGAGAGAAGGTAGGAGTTTAACAGCCATCCATTCTTTGCAGCACTTCAGAAAGCACATGGAAATGAACCCTGCAACAAGCCATCAGCAGGGCATTCATTCATTAACTTAATAGATTTCATTTTGTGACTAGCAGCTAGAGTCACAGACTTCCACCTCCAGCCACCTGCAAGACATCTCCGCAGAGGGGTTCCGATGGCACCTCCAATTCTGCGAGTCCCTATCTGAATTCAGGATGGTCCCTTGCAGAAACCTGACTTCCTCCATCCTGGGCACACAGGCTGCAAGTCTCAGCATCTTCCTGGCCCACTCAATAGCCGCTCCCCACCCCCCCTCCTAAGGCTGCTACATTCTCTGGACTGAACCTCAATCTTAGAGCATCTACCCCAGCCCCTTCTTAACCCGTTAACTCCCACTGAGGCCTCCCATCTTGCATTCCCATCTCCAAGTTCCCCAACATAAGGCCTCCCCCCTCAGCTATGGGGACACAGCACCAAAAACCCAGATATGATCTGTCACTCCCTCCAAGCAAGCAAACCCAAAAAACCCCCAAATGTTTCCTCCTCGTCATAGTAACTAATACTTATTGAGTACCTACTGTGTGCAAGCTCCATGCTAAGGGGTCTAAATCCTTCCTAATAGCCCTCAGTTGAAAACCTAACTCCCTACCAGGATCTGGCCCTGCCCGTCTCCTCTGCTTCATCTGGGCTTCTCCCTGGCCTGCCGGGTGCCACTCTCAATGGCCTTTGTGTTCCAAAGACACATAGAAAGCAGCTCTGCTCTCCTACAATGTTCTCTCCTGGTCATAGCTTGCTTGACTCCTTTTGGCATATGACTCAGAGAAGCTTTCTCTGATCGCCCGAAGTCGTTCTCTTCTATTATCACAGGACGCTAGCACTTGTCATCCTCTGTCATTATTTTATTTGTTCCCCTCATTCAGCTCCCTGGGTAGAATGTAGCTTCCCTCAGGGTAAGGACCATGTCCAATTTGTTCACCAATGAGCTCCAAAAGTAGCATAGAGTCAGGCACAGGTAAATAAATAGTGCTCAAAGGAATGAAAGAAGGAATGAATGAAAGCACAGTGCCTTCCTGGGGAGCCCTCCGGAAATCATCCTATTATCAGTATCCAGCGCTCTTGTCTCTGATGCCCTTACAGCATCCAGAACAGAGGGTGTTAACATCTTTGTTCAAAACTTTCCATGAAGTCTGGAGGCTCTTGCTTTTGGACCTCCTACTATGTTCTGAGAACCATGCTATGGGCTTAAAAAGCATCATCTCTGTTATTCTCAGCAGCTACCGCAGGAAGTAAGCCCTCTTTTCTAGGGCTGCATTTGTGGGCTCTAAGCACTTTGGCCTTCATGGGCCCTTCTTTCATAAAGAAATATTAAAAATTACATATTATACTGCATTAGTTCTTTATACCAATTATACATATACTAATGTAATCCAGGCTGGATTCATTGTCATAACAGTTATTTTTCTTCCGATTTAAAAGAAATGAAAACATTTTCGTGGGCCCTAGACCCTGTGTCTGATAAGTCAGCCCTGCTATGGGGCCAGTTATCCGATGAGGAAGCAGATGATTTCAGGACTAAAAGTCACAAGTTAGAAGTGGAGGGGACGCGAACCCAGGCCAAGCATGACTCTAGTTCAAAACTTCTAACCGGCTGTGCCCCAGGGTCACTCCAGGAAGTTCCCTAAGCCCGCACCCCACCCAGCTTCCAGGCCCTCAGCACCTGGATCAGCGAGCCTGGGGCAGTTCCCGGTGCCCCGCCCCTTC